GACTCCGTGTGCCAAAAGTATAAAACAAAATTTTGATATTTAATTTTGAAATTGCAAAATCGAATACTTTGAAATCTTGCAGATATTTTAAAGTCATGATAAACATGATACATTTTTAATTAAAATATATTTGGTTATCCCCTCTAAAAAAAAAAATTATGACGTCACCTCAAAATTTTGCAGAATAAATCCTTTCTTAAATGTATACAATATGATGAGTTTTTATACTTGTGATTTATCACTGCATTAATATTTTTTAGATTTGGTTATACAGGGTGTCTCAAAAAAGTTAATGAATACTTTGAAATATTGTAGATGTTTTGAATTTTTTATAAGCATGGTAACTTTTTCGAAAATTTGATTAATCAAATATGCGCAAAATCAAAAATCGGAAAAACTGAAATTCACTAATGCAAAAAACAGAAAATCTAAAAATACAAATCGTAAAAATCGAAAATCTAAAAATGGCTAATCAAAAAATCGAAAATTCAATGAATCAAATACCTAGGTTTATCGAAAAGTGGAAATTCACAAACCTCAAAAATCGAAAAATCGAAAATTGAAAAACGGGAAAACCAAAAAATCGAAAAGTCAAAAATTTGTAATATTGAAAATTAAAAAAATCAAAAACAAAAATAAAAAAAATCGGAAATTAAAATAATCAAAATATATAAAGTAGAAAAAATTGCAAAGCCTAAAAACTGAAACGAACAGAAAAATCGAAAAAGCAAAAAATTGGAAAAACAAAAATTCGAAAAATCTAAAATCTAAAAAGTGGAAAATCGAAAATCTGAATAAAGAAACTTGGGAATTCTGAAAATTGGAAAATCGAAAACCAAAAAATCGGGAAGTAACAAAATTGAAGTCTAACAGTTGAGAATGGAAAAATTGAAAAACCGAAAATTCTAAAAATCGACAATGGACAAATTGAAAATCGCAAAATTTAAATTGAAAAATTGAACATAGAAAAATCGATGAATTGAAAAATCGAAAATTCGACTACTTAAATTTTCTAAAAATCGAAAGTCTGAAAACTGAAAATCGAAAACTCTGAAAAGCGGAAAATAGAATATCGAAAAATTTAAAAGAAAGAAAATTGAAGTCTAAAAACCGAAGAATGGAAAAATTAAAAATCAAAAATGCTAAAAATCAAAACGGAAAAATTCAAAGATTTAAAAAGAAAATCGAAAAATCAAAAATCTGAAAATTGAAACTCGAAAATTTGGAAAATCGAAAAGTAAAAAAATTGAAGACTAAAAGCTGAAAAATGGAAAACTGAACAATCGAAAATTGGAAAATCAAATATCGAAAAATCGAAAAGCCGAAAAATTGAAAATTTGAAAAATCAGATATGCGAAAAACAGAAAATCTGAAAATACAAAACTGGAAAATCAAAAATCTAAAAATGGAAATACCGAAAATCGAAAATTCAATGAATCTAATACGTAGGTCGATCGAAAAACTGGAAATTCACAAATCTGAAAAATCGAAAATTTGCAAGATTGAAAAACCGAGAATTGAAAATTCAAAAAACCGAAAAATGGAAAAATCAAAAATCGAAAAATAGGAAAACCCAAAATTCGAAAATTCATAATATTGAAAACTCTAAAAGTCGACAATTCAAAAATCAAAAAATTGGAAAGTAAAATAATCGAAAAATCGAAAAGGTAAACAAATTGCAAAGCCTAAAAACTGGCGAACGGAAAAATCGAAAAATCGTAAAATCAAAAAGTGGAAAATCGAAAACTGGAAATTGAAAAATCGAAGATTGGAAAATCGAAAAATCGAAAATCGGAATATCGAGAATCGACAAATTAAAAAACCGAAAAATCGAAAAATTAAAAAATCGGAAATCGAAAAATGAAAAAAAAACGAAAATTAAAAAATCGAATAATCCGAAACTAAAATAATAGAAAAGTGGAAAAGTAAAAATTACAAAGTCTCAAAACTGACGAACAGAAAAATTGAAATATCAAAAAAATCGAAAAATTGAAAATCGGAAAATGGAAAAACCGATAAATCGAAAATCGAAAACTCGAAAAATCGAAAATTCGATGAAACAAATACTCGAAAAAATTGCAAGGCCTAAAAATTGAAAAATCAAAAAATCGTAAAAATGAAAATCAAAAAAACCACGATCGAAAAAAAATAAAAAAATCGAAAAGTGGAAAATCGGAAAGTAACAAAATTGAAATCTAAAAGCTGAAGAAGGGAAAATTCTAAAAAGGAACAATCGAAAAAAACAAAATTAAAAATTGAAAATTTGAAAAATGGAAAATCGAAAACTCGAATATCGAGATTTTGAAAAATCGTAAAAATGATAATCGAAAAATCGAAATGCTCAAAAATCGAAAATTCGATTAATCAATATTCTAAAAATCGAAAAAACGGACACAAATCCACAAATCTGAAAAATCGAAAATCGAAATATGAAAAATTAAAAAACCGAAAAATTGAAAAATCCCAAATCGAAAAATGGAAAAACCGAAAATTCAAAAATCAAACTATCGGACAGTAAAATAATCGAAAAATGGAAAAATAAAACAAATTGCAGAACCATAAAAACTGAAACAAACAGAAAAGTCGAAAAACCACAAAAGCGGAAAAACGAAAATCGAAAAATCGCAAATCGAAAAATCGTAAAATCCGAAAATGGAAAATCGAATAATCGAAAGTTGAAAAATCGAAGGTCGAAAAATAAAACAACCGAAAAATCGAAAAATTTAATGATTAATGGAAAATCGAAAAATCGAGAATAGAAGAATTAAAAAACCAGAAAATTGAAAAATCGGAAATCGAAGAATTAAAAACGTAAAATCGAGAATTCAAAAATCAAAAAAATCGGAAAGTAAAACATAATCGAAAATGCAAAAAAATTGCAAAGTCTAAAAACTGACGAACAGAAAAATCAAAAAATTAAAAAATCTGAAAATGGAAAGACGAAAAATCGAAAATTCAAAGAATGGCAAATCAAAAAATCGAAACATCGAAAAATCAAAAAATCGAAAAATTAAAAAATCGAAAAACGAAAAAACTGAAAACTCGAAAATTCAAAATACCGCAAATTTGAAAAATCAGAAAATTGGAAAGTAATAAAATCGAAAAGTTGATAGAAAAATGGAAACTGAAAAATCTAATTCGATGAAACGGTTGGTTGAAAAAACGAAAAATTGAAAATCGAGGTGACCTTTTTTTGAGACAGGCTGTATAAGTAAATCTAAAAAATATTACTGAAATGATAAATCACAGGTATAGACTCATCATATCAAATTTTACGATGACGTCATGCATTTTTTGGCGAAGATAAGCAAATACATTTTGATCGTGGCTTTGAAAGTATTCTTCGAATTTCGTTCCATTTCAAAATTTACTCTTTGTATATTTCAGTGGTCACAACGAGTTCACTAACTACGCTGAAGTATAGAAAGAATAAATTTGTCACCGAAAAGATGTCGGAAGTAGTAAATTATCCTATCGGTCGAAGAACGTTCGGTCCGGTGTTACACCTCGACCCAAGAGAGGCCGCAGTAAAGGATAACAAATGGAATGAATAAAATAAAGTGTCAAACATGATTGATAAACTTTAAACCAAAATTATGAAGTTTATAAACTGAACATTTTTTTTGCTTTTTGAAATGTAGTACACTTCAAAAAATGTCCGTGACTTATTTTAATGTGAATTTTATAACTACGGTCGGCACAATTAGACCTAATATTAGTGTGATTTTGAGCATATTCTCGATGTTATTAGAGCAGGACAGGTTTTTTTTTTCTAACTAATTGACAAGATTTCAAAGCATTCAGTTTTGCAATTTTTGATTTCTTCAATAAAATAAATTGACTCGGTCATTATTTTTTTTTTGAGTCACCCTGTATGTATAAACAAATCCAAAAAATATTAATGGAATGGTAAATCACAAATATAGACTCATCATATTCTGAATATTTTAGATAGGGTATTTATAAAATTAAAACTAATTCCAAACATACCATTGCCCCCACAGCCGATTATAACGAGGTGGGGAACATGGTTACAGGCCACATTTTATTATGACAAATATATCAAAGAATTTGAGGAAGTAGTTAGGGAGTTTAGCCAAGATTCTTCTCAATCGATTAAAGATTGCATAAATATTTTGGAAAACAAAGATTTGCGACAAGATCTAGTTTTTCTAAGAAGCAATTATCAATTCGTATGTGAGGTAATAGAAAAGTTAGAAAAACCCAACATGTTGTTGGTAGATGCCATAAACTTAGTGAAAGAATTTAAACAACAAGCAAACGCAGTAAGGGGTGATATTGGCACTAGAGTATCTCAAAAACTTGACGAAGTGTTAAATAAAAATGCAGGTTTCGGTGTTCTTTCCGACGTTGCTCGTGTTTTACAAGGCCAGAAGGTGGAAAATTTGGAGTTAGATTCAACATTAGTTGCAAAATTCAAATTTGCGCCAACAACGAGTGTGGATGTTGAACGCACATTCTCCAGTTTTAAACACATTTTAAATGATCGGCGAAAAAATTTTACAGTGGACAACATGGAACATATTACAATCATAAATTGTTTTAAAGAAAACTGAAATACGTGTGTAAAATATAAAGTCTAGGATTATTGTAATAATATTTTATCCGAAGTTCTAAGAAGTGTTCTTTGATTTGTAATATGATTATGTTTTTAATGCTTTTTTGCTTAAAATAAAACTTTTTTATTGAAAGTGTTATGCTTATTTAATGCTTTTTTGCTTAAAATAAAACTTTTTTATTGAAAATGTTGTGCTTATGTAAGCGCTTATTCTTAATTTTTTTGTGCTTATAAATCCGCTCTCTAGTTATATGTTTGTGCGAGACATAACCCCCCTGCACCATGCAAACTACCCCATTCATCCGCTCTCGAAACTTTATTAAATTTCCTCGCAGAGGTCATCACCGGCCGGGTCGGACTTCCGCCCAGATTAGACCGTCCAGTTAGCGAGACAATAAGGACTCCGACGACAGCTACTCACCTACGACGGACAGTGACATGGAGAATCCTATCGGGGGCGTCGTGCCGACCTGACACTCGTAGACGCCGCTGTCCCGACGCTGCGGATAGCGCACTTGAAGCGTCCAATCCTCCGTCATGGGATTGTGGATGCTGGTGAACCGCTGGTCGGAGGTGTACGTCGATCTGCCGACGGTGAGCAGGTGCAGGTCGCGGTGGCGGATCCAGGACACCTGGAACAAGAGGAGGTGTATTGTTGGTTGTCGGAGACGGGTCTGGGTTGCGCGAAGAGTGTTTATTTTTCATTTGCATCTGAAATGGGGCCGTGCTGTTTGATGTGTGTTGTGAGTATTTGTTCGGGGTAATTATAGGGCGGGGGAGTGGAAGGGGTGGGGTCGTTGGACTTGGCGAACGGGGATGTTTTGTGGGGGTTTTGGGGGAATTGACACTGAGAGAAGTGTAATTTCTCTCTGTCTGTTAAAACAAAAATAACGATCGCGACAGAAATGGCGGACCTACTTTTCCAAGGCGCAAAACGAACCATGCGTTCATATTCATACGTTTCACCTGTTCTGTATAAACAAAAGCAATTTTTATAAGTGACTAAGCACAGACGGTGAAAACATTTACTTTCTTGGAATGTTTATTCCGTACTTGGTCTGGAATAATTTTGACTGGGAAGGCGATATTTGTTGATTTAGCCATGTGAATTTTGCGCTCGAGTTTGGCAATGGCAGAAAGTGCATTTTAATGGCGCAGTTAGCAACAGGCGTCTTCATAAACTACCGTACTTTAGTTTGCGAGTTAAAGAATTTTCTACGAAACTGGGATCGTTTAAAACTCCATTACGTTGTGGCAGTAACAGTAATAATAGTAGTGTATTTTCGCTAGTAAAACACTTGAGTCTCCTGAGATTCTTAATTTTTTTTAAATTGAAACACCAAAGATTCCGCAAGATATTTTTCATTTTTTCAAAAATAAAACATCAAGAGATCTGAGATCCTATACGGGAAGAGTAACACACCAGGGATCTTCGACATTCTTATTTTTATGAATATAAAACATCCAAGCTCTTGCAATTGTTTTTTTTTTTATAAAACACTAGGCCTCTGAGACTTTTTGAGATGCCTATTTTTTTTTTAAATTGAAAAATCCAAGGTTCCTTAAGTTTCTTTAAATTCTATCGAAAATAATACATTAAGAACCGCTGACATTCTTTAATTTTTTTTCAAAATTAAAACACTGAAGCCCCCGAGACTATTATCTTTTTTTAAATTGAAACACCAAAGATCCAATAAGATTTTTTAAATTTCTTCAATAATACAATACATGGGACGCCCAATTTCAAAATTACCACATCGATAAAAAACAAGGACCTCCCAGCTTTTTAAATTCTTCCAAAAATGAAACACCATGAGGTCTGAGCAACCTTAAAATCTTTCCAACACCAGATAGACCAAGATTCTTTTAAATTTGTTCGATAATCAAACACTCGGGGCCTCTGAAGATGTTGAATTCTTTTAAAATTTATACACTAAATACAAATAGTACACTAGGGACCTCTGAGATACTTAAATTATTTTAAAATTGCAGCATGGAAAATCCTCGAGATTCTTAAATTTTTTCAATGATAGAACATTTCGAGGTTTGAAATTTTTAAAAATTTTTTCAGTAATAAAACACTTCGGAGCCGTGAGATTATCAAGTTCTTTGAAATATAAAACAAAGCACTCCGAGATTCTTAATTTTTTTTTTAAACAGAACACCATGAGACCCGAGATTCTTTAATACGTGAAACACTAGGGTTCCCTGGCATGCTTAAATTCATTTAAAATAGAAAAACCCAATATCTCCCGAGATTCTTCCAAATTCCTAAAAAATACATCTGGATCCTTCGAGATTCTTTCAAAATTTTAAAAAATAAAACACCAGCCCCCCCCCGAGATTCTTAAATTTTTCAAAAACAAAACACCAAGTGGCCCGAGATTCTTCAAAATTTTTACAATAGTAAAATACTGGCGACGCGACGCCTGAGATTCATAAATTCTTTTAAAATTAAAACTACAGATTTTTTTAATTTTCTAAGAAATAATAGACAAAGGAACCGACATTTTTTTTAAATTTGTTCAAAAAAATATAATACACCTCTGATCATTGACATTTTTCAAAAAAATGTCTAAAATAAAATATCAGGGCTGTTGGGATAATTATTTTTAAAAATAAATATCTGGACGCCTGAGATTCTTTAATATATTTTTTTTTAAATAAAACACTGTAGGCGCCCTAGATTCTTAAATTCTTTCAAAATTGAAACACCAAAGACATTGGAAATATTTTAAATTCCTTCAAAAATAAAACAGTAGGGGCCCCTAAGATTGTTAAATTATTTTAAAATTGCAGCATGAAAAATCTCCGAGACTCTTAAATTTTTTCAATGATAGAATATTTAGACGTTTGAAATTCTTTAAAAATTTTTCAATAATAAAACACTTCAGAGTCCTGAGATTATCAAGTTCTTTGAAATATAAAACAAAGTACTCCGAAATTCTTAAATTCTTTCAAAAACAACACCATGAAACTCGAGTTTCTATAATATGTTTTCGAAAGTGAAACACTAGGGTTCTCGGGCATGCTTAATTAAATTCATTTAAAATTGAAAAACCCAATATCTCCCGAGATTCTCCCAAATTCCTGAAAAATACATCTGGGTCCTTCGAGATTCTTCCAAAATTTTTTAAAATAAAACACCAAGCGCCTCCGAGATTCTTAAATTTTTAAAACATAAAACACCAGGTGGCCCGAGATTCTTCAAAATTTTTTCAATAGTAAAATATGGCGACGCGACGCCTGAGATTCGTGAATTCTTTTAAAATTAAAACTACAGATTTTTTTAATTTTCTAAGAAATAATAGACAAAAGAATCGACATTTTTTTTTAAATTTGTTCAAGAATAATATAATACACCTCTGATGATTGACATTCTCTAAAAAAATTTCTAAAATAAAATATCGGGGCTCTTGGGATAATTATTTTTAAAAATAAATATCTGGACGCCTGAGATTCTTTAATATATTTTTTTTTAAATAAAACATTATAGACGCCCTAGATTCTTAAATTCTTTTAAAATTGAAACATCAAAGACATCAGAAATATTTTAAATTTCTTCAAAAATAAAACAGTAGGGGACCCTAAGATTTTTAAATTATTTTAAAATTGCAGCATGAAAAATCTCGGAGACTCTTAAATTTTTTCAATGATAGAATATTTAGACGTTTGAAATTCGTTAAATTTTTTTCAATAATAAAACACTTTGGAGCCCTGAGATTATCAAATTCTTTCAAAAACAGAACACCATGAGACCCGAGATTCTATAATATGTTCTCGAAAGTGAAACACTAGGGTTCTCGGACATGCTTAATTAAATTCATTTAAAATTAAAAAACCCAATATCTCCAGAGATTCTCCCAAATTCCTGAAAAATACATCTGGGTCCTTTGAGATTCTTTCAAAATTTTTTAAAATAAAACACCAGGCGCCTCCGAGATTCTTAAATTTTTAAAAAATAAAACACCAGGTGGCCCGAGATTCTTCAAAATTTTTTCAATAGTAAAATACTGGCGACGCGACGCCTGAGATTCATAAATTCTTTTAAAATTAAAACTACAGGTTTTTTTTTATTTTCTAGGAAATAATAGACAAAGGAACCGACATTTTTTTTAATTAGTTCAAAAATAATATAATACAGCTCTGATCATTAACATTCTTTAAAAAAATTTCTAAAATAAAATATCATGGCTCTTGGGATAATTATTTTTAAAAATAAATATCTGGACGCCTGAGATTCTTTAATTTTTTTTTTTAATAAAACATTATAGGGGCCGTAGATTCTCAAATTCTTTTAAAATTGAGACACCAAAGGTCACAGAAATATTTTAAATTTCTTCAGAAAAAAAACACTAGGGGACCCTAAGATTCTTAAATTATTTTAAAATTACAGCATGGAAAATCCTCGAGATTCTTAAATTTTTTCAATGATAGAACATCTAGATGTTTGAAACTCTTTAAAAATTTTTCTATAATAAAACACTTCGGGGTCCTGAGATTATCAAGTTCTTTGAAATATAAAACAAAGTACTCCGAAATTCTTAAATTTTTTTAAAAACAGAACACCATGAAACTCAAGATTCTATAATATGTTTTCGAAAGTGAAACACTAGGGTTCTCGGGCATGCTTAATTAAATTCATTTAAAATTGAAAAACCCAATATCTCCCGAGATTCTCCCAAATTCCTGAAAAATACATCCGGGTCCTTCGAGATTCTTCCAAAATTTTTTAAGATAAAACACCATGCGCCTCCGAGATTCTTAAATTTTTAAAAAATAAAACACCAGGTGGCCCGAGATTCTTCAAAATTTTTTCAATAGTAAAATACTGGCGACGCTACGCCTGAAATTCATAAATTCTTTTAAAATTAAAACTACAGATTTTTTTAATTTTCTAAGAAATAATAGACAAATGAACCGACATTTTTTTTTTAATTTGTTCAAGAATAATATAATACACCTCTGATGATTGACATTCTTTAAAACAATTTCTAAAATAAAATATCGGGGCTCTTGGGATAATTATTTTTAAAAATAAATATCTGGACGCCTGAGATTCTTTAATATATTTTTTTTTAAATAAAACATTATAGACGCCCTAGATTCTTAAATTCTTTTAAAATTGAAACATCAGAGACATCAGAAATATTTTAAATTTCTTCAAAAATAAAACAGTAGGGGATCCTAAGATTTTTAAATTATTTTAAAATTGCAGCATGAAAAATCTCGGAGACTCTTAAATTTTTTCAATGATAGAATATTTAGACGTTTGAAATTCGTTAAAATTTTTTCAATAATAAAACACTTTGGAGCCCTGAGATTATCAAATTCTTTCAAAAACAGAACACCATGAGACCCGAGATTCTATAATATGTTTTCGAAAGTGAAACACTAGGGTTCTCCGGCATGCTTAATTAAATTCATTTAAAATTGAAAAACCCAATATCTCCAGAGATTCTCCCAAATTCAGGAAAAATACATCTGGATCCTTCGAGATTCTTTCAAAATTTTTTAAAATAAAACATCAACCACCTCCGAGATTCTTAAATTTTTAAAAAATAAAACACCAGGTGGCCCGAGATTCTTCAAAATTTTTTCAATAGTAAAGCACCGGGGACGCCTGGGATTC